CGATTGTTATTCATCTTTTAATGAAAGATCTGCAAAAAAAATAGTTAGCTGCCTGCAGAAGAGAATTTTTAAGCTGTGAGATCGTTGTTAATCTAAGAAAACGTTTCAAACTCACCAAATCCTTACCGTTTAGGCTAAATTTTCCCGCGAAAATTCTATTTTTAACGTCACGCTGCATGGAAAAGCAGAGTGGATCCTCAGTTCGATGGTCTTTTTTCCGGTTGTGTGGACCAAACTGCAAGTTAATAGTGAGCGAACCTTTACACTAAATTTAATTTTGGGACTTCTGCAAACCCCTTGTTTACACCCATCTCTCGTTTTCGGATGGCGTGACGTGTTACAGATTTAAAGGTAAGACTTCGAAATGTCGATATTGCCTAAAGGTTCCTCCTTGTTTTTAAAAACTTTAACTGCTCTTTCAGATCAGAAAAATCGCCTAGCATTGCGGGTGGTGGGTCAGTTTTTCTTCAATTATTAGCGTGCAAACAAGAGGGTCGAGTAAAGACGTCAGAGGTGGTGCCTATTTGGCGCAGCCGAATGTAAACAATGAGGAAATACAGGTTACGACAAAACTTCGCTGCTATCAGGCCTACGAAATAATCAAAAAGGACAGACAACTGGAATAAGCATCTCAATACGAGAAATTGTCGCTAGGTCTGCAGGATTGCCCGCGGAAATCTTTCTTGCTATCATTGTCGTTTGTATCGTCGCAGGTTTGTACACCGTCTTGTTTTCCATTTCATTTCCTTCCTTTATTACCTCGAGCATGGAATTGACTTACGACCACTTGCTATGAAGCTTGAGATAATTTTTTGCTGATTCAAAGGTGTCTTAACGTGTCTCGAAAACCCAGACCCGGAAAACTCTTCTTAATTTAGCAGAGTTAATCGAAACATAAGGATCCGTAGTATGTAATACCCGAAACTGTCACGCAATGCACCTCAAGCCATTGTCACTAACCTTGGAATTTAAGTGGCTTTTCAGTATAAAATAAATTTCATCAATTTGGTTTATACTTATAAAGCAACCAAAACAACATACGAATGCTGGGTATTGTTTTCGTGATCCGAGCAGAGGAATCTACAACCGTGGGCTTTTTTTTCCCCTCTCTCTGCAGATTGTGCCTATGACATTATATGGACGAACGCCAAATAAGATCAGATAAGATGCCTTGAAGCAATCCGCAGTAAACACGCTGCGAAAAAAAGTTGTTATATTTTTCGAGTCTGAGTTTTCGAGACGCACAGAGAGTCTGACTTTTTCGGGTCTGAGTTTTCGTTTTCGAGGGTCACAGTTTTACGAAATCGTAACCCAGTCAGCTGGTTTATATGTAAATGTCAAAAATAAAAACAACTTTATTTAATGAGTTCTTAAAAAATTAAATCAAATTGAAATGTCGTCTAGAACAGCAGATTTTTCTTGCACCTTCTTGGAAACAGCGTGTGAGTGGTGGTGAAATGTGGGG